CCAAGAGATAAATGTATAGGCCTGGTTTGGTTCAGGGTCTTTCATCTTTCATCTGCCTGTGTGCAGTTTGGAGGTGCAAGATGCCTGAGCGTGTAATGTTAATTTTTACCTGTGTTCATGGAATAAATCAGCACTGTTTTGTAGTTACTTGGACTGCCTCGTCTCTCAAGAGTCCATATGGTAAAAAGTACCAGTATCAACGAAAATTATGACTAAATATTGTCGTCAACGAACCTTTATCACATGACGAAAATGAGACGAGATGCAATGAAAATGCTGGTCATGTGACAATGAATTGTACTATATTGACTGGGTTAAATAGAATTGCATTACTAAAAAGAGACTAAAATACAATTTTCATTGACTAAAACTAGACTAAATGTCATCAGTTTTCATAGACTAAAACTAGGTGAAAATAGTCATGGATAATTCTGACTAAAATAAGACTAAAATGAATTTTAGAATTTCAGAATTTTAGTTGACTGAAACTTGACTAGACTAAAAAGAGTATGAACATGACAAACTAATAAAAACTGAAATGACAGCTTCACACAAAGACTAGACTAAAACTAAAATTAAAACAGGCCGCCAAAAACAACTATACTTGTAACAGAGTATTTTTACACTGTTTTATTGCTACTTTTACTTAAAGGTAAGGTTGGAAGTCCAGCAGAAATACAGCCACCATCACGTCACTGTTCAGCACCTTTTGTTCTGTCAGTTATCGCTATCATTCAAAGCCACACGGATTATGGTTTTACTTCTTGAAGCATTCAACTTCTTGTTAGTTGTAACTTTCTTGAATACAGTGTTACGCACACAGATTTGTAGCCCCAAACTATAGTTGGGGACCTCTGGTTCATGGTTAAGCTGCTTTAGCCCTGGCTCATAATCAGCAATTAGACCTAGAAGTCCTGGCTTTTCTGGTGGGGAGAGGGTGAAGAGGGAGGACAGCTAACTCTGTTCAAAACACAGGCTTTATTCCATCTTGGTAACACAAACACTGACTGTGGCCTTTGATGCCCAGTTAACTCTATTACAACCCTATCTATACATCTTGGAGCTAAATACTGTTGGTATTTTCCCCACCCATGGCTGCATGTAAAAGGAGTCAGTTCCATGCAGCCATCTTCTCACTCTCTTACTGTGCAAACAGGTCGCAATGACTGGCAACAACAACATTACCTATAAGGCTATATGTCTTAAAGGAGAAGGCCTGACCTGTAACAACGGTCTCTGTTTGTGAATGAAAGGTGCTGTGAATACTTTCTCTGCCATAGCTCGCTAGCTTTAGCTGTAAAATAGAATGGTAACGTGTCTGCCTGCAACTGCAGTGCCTCGTGGGAGACTCTTGTATAAGCTATTTTTAAGCTTCTTCCGGCTCTTTGAAACCAGGAACTCACAAAGACGAAGTAGACCACTTGTATATATAAAAAATAACCGTGCTGGTTTATTCAAAGAATCACAGGTAAAATTAACATTACACGTCCAGATCTCTTCCACCTCCGACCTGCACGCAGGCAGACGAAGTATGAAAGACCCTGAACCATAATGCCTATACAATTTTATCACTTGGTTGGGATAGCCCATTCTACACAGGAACGTCAAACCGTGACGTCACCTGATATGCCAGCTATGCAGCTGACCATAACAATAGTCAAAACATGAAGAAAGTCAAGGTGTGTGGCTGTTGATTAGTGGTGTGTATCTAAGAACATTTTTGACATGACATTACACATAAGAAAATATTATGATTACCATTACAGTTACACATATCATAATAATAGCAATAACCTCCTGCCTGCAAACTGTCTCTATTTAGTTGTCCTTGGCCTATATGCAGCCTGCAGAACTCATGAGAATGACTAAGCATTTAACAGCCTGAGCATAGACAGCCTGGCTCCACTAAACATTTCTAATACAACAAATATCTAACAAATATCAATCTGACTAAGAAATTACCTAACACTTGGCTTGCACATTGAGCGCAGGGGCAGAGTGCGCATGTCGTGGCAAGAGTGAGATACCAACTAAATTAATTCAGACAAACCATTACAATTTAAAGAATCATTTAATATTACAGTTATTCTGAATAGAGTAGTATTCAAACACATAATATTGTAGTTAGGGAACAGAGAACAGAGATCAGAGAACAGAGACTCTCCTCTTGCAATGGAATAGATAAAGCCTAAAGATTGTCAGAGCACCAGTCAGTCCTTATGCTGTTGCGTCAATTTCTGAACCTAGCTTCCTGTCTCCAGTTTCAGGAGACAACACCCTGAGATGTACTTCGAAAACAGGAAACATCTTGACCACTTACATAAAACCATTGTCCAACTCACATGAACTCACATAAACTTGATGAACCCGTAACCACTCAGCTCAAACAAGTACAAATAATAAAATAAGTACAAATAATGTCTATATGTGAAGTACATACTGTTCTATTACATATTTCTTCTGGAATCTGATTTATTTTTAACCACCACACGCATAAGTAGGAAGTAGGTTGACAGGCAGGTAGGCCATTCATTGATTTTACATGGCATGAGTAAAATCATTGGTCAGGTGCTTTTTTTAGCCCTGCTGCTGCCACAGATGATGGATTTTTTTATTTATGTTGTCAGTGCATTTATTGTATTCATTGCCATCAGGTTGAAAAGAGAAATTCATGAAATGCATTAAAAATGCTTCTGGAAGGAAATGGCAACCCTACCTTTAAGTAAGCTGTCTGATTATTTCTGCCACCACTCGTTCTAAATGTACCTTAAAGTCACCCTGGGCTGAATTTGCCATTCAAAATACCCTTTTTTTAAATAATCAAGTTCTGCTCATTTCTGCTGCATTGCTTTCTGATTTCCCAAACTACAGGGTGGGCCTAGGGTCATAATCACAGAATATGCATGTGCTAATCACTTGGCAAAATAATTTGTGGCATTAAAAGGAATTTGTGTTAATGCATTATTAGCAAGTTAACTTTGACACCCCTTACATATTGTCGGCATTTGGTTCTTCTTACCATTGCTAACTCTGAGAGACGAGACAGTCCAAGTAACTTCAAAACAGTGCTGATTTATTCAAAGGATCACAGGTAAAATTAACATTACACACTCAGGTATCTTGCACCTCCAAACTGCACACAGGCAGATGTAAGATGAAAGACCCTGAACCCAACAGGCCTATACATTATATCCCTTCGGTTGGGCTAGCTCCATACTACACAGAAACGTCAACCGAGATGTCTCTCTTACCAGCTTTGCAGCTGGCCCTAGCAGTAGTCAAAACATGAAGCAAATCAATGTGCGTGTGTGTGTCTGTTGATTAAGTGGTGTGTAGCTAAAAACATTCTCGCACGACCTCTAGTAACATGTCGTGACTTAAACATAAGAACATATTATGGCTAAGGCCACAGTTATGCACGTCATAATAATAATAATATTAAACACCCTGTCTGCTGACAGTCATCAACTTTTCTCTCTAGTTATCCTTGACCAGATGTACCCTGTAGAAACTCATAAGCATGCCTAAGCATTTAACAGTTTAACTCGACATCCTATCTCCACTAAACATTTCTAATACATAAAGTATCTATCCAATTTCTATCTGACTAAAAATACCTAACAATATACACACACACACATTCTACATACAATTATAAAATACACAGCTATGTGATCATCTCAGAGTAAGAACCATGTATGTATTTATATGTGCAGTTTGGAAAAGCAGAATTCTAGCTTGGGAAGTATGCCACATGGGGAATAAACAGATTTTTATGTGTTAAGTTGCCTTTATAAATGAACTGGTAGTAGCTGATAAAGTGTCCTGTCTCATGTCAGACCACAAAGTTTACATCTGGCACCGGCGCAGTGAGCTGCCCATAGCAGAGCTGACTGGTCACACCCGTACAGTCAACTGTGTGAGCTGGAACCCCGTCCTGCCCGGACTGCTGGCCAGTGCCTCCGATGACGGCACCATCCGAATCTGGGGACCTGCCCCCTTCCTGGATGTCCAGGATGCAGAAGGGCTAAATGGTATGAACATGAAACATAGTATACATAGTTAGGAATTTTTTTTTAAGTTGAGCAATTCATTAGTGTATGAAATCTCTGTATTTCCTGGATTATCCTTGAGCCCCAGCTTTCATCAGGGTCAATAGTATTTGTCTGTGGACTGCAAGATGGGTGGAACCTGTAGGGGTGGAATGTGATTCATCCAGTTACACTTCCTAAAACCTCCCCCTATTACAAGTTACACCCCTATAAACCACACCTACATTTACACTACACACATACACTTAAATACCATGCCCACTTGCAGATGCAGACAAACTGTTGTGCTTAGGGGGAATAACTCGATGCATCATGTTACACGGGTTCTTGCCCTTTCTCATCAAGTTCCCCAACAGTGTACATGTAAGCAGAGTGAGAAACCACAACTACATTTTTAATACATCTGTTTTTAAAAATGTTGGGATGCTGAGTAAAATGTAAACAGAGTGCTAATCATTTAAAATCTCTGTTTAAAGGCACAATAAGTGAGGTTTTGTAGTTTTTGCTGTTTGGTTCTCATACAGTTGCTGAGTGTAATTCACTTTTACACAGTTGTCATAAATACCAGTTATACTTTTACCCCTCCTTAAGGACAGTGTGTGCATTGTTTACAAGTTGAACTGGGAAAGGAACTGTTAGAAGCCAAAGTATGGTAAAGTAATATTACAGGATTTTATGCAAATATGACTCTGCATAGTTTTATTTTTTGTGGCATTGAAGATGAACACTCATAAAAAAGGAGAACAAATAATTGGCAACAACACAATGGCAATTTTTTGTTGTTGTTTTAGGTAGGTAGGTAGGTAGGTAGGACTTTATTGATCCCACAATGGGGAAATTCCAGTGTTCCAGCAGCAATAGAGAGCAGCAACAAAACACCATAAGAACAAACACCACACACATATCTTGAGAAACAAATTCCAAAGTATCTAAAACCAAACAGAATATAGTATTTGAGAGACAATCAAGAACAAGAATGATCCTCCCACAATTAATCCCTGAGAGCAAATCAAAATACCTAAGAACAAGACAAAATATATTATTCAAGAAATCAAGGACAAGAATATTACTCCCATAATTAATCCTGCAATGGGGGAAATACCTGTATTTCAGCCATGGGGATATCTGAAAAACTACTCAAAAATATCTAAAACAAGACAATATAAAGTATTCAAGAGAAATGAAGGACAAGATTTTACACGTGTGCATATTTACAATGCATTTTACCCCCAGGATTTGAGTATTGCACCTCAGTTGACTATTGCATTGTACAGCCTGATAGCTGTGGCGAGGAATGACCTATTTTAACGCTCCTTCTTGCACTGGGGATGTAACAGTCTTGTGCTAAAAGAACTGTTCAGAGCCTCCACTGTGTGGTGCAGGGGATGGGAGGGATTATGCATGATGGACGTTAGTTTTGCCAGCATCCTTCTGTCCGCCACCTCCTCGATGGAATCCAGAGGGCAGCCCAGGACAGAACAGCTCTCTTAACCAGTTTGTTAACTATCTTTCTGTCCCTGTCCGTGCTACCTCCTGCCCAACCCACAACAGCATAAAAAACTGCAGATGCCACCACCGTATCATAGAATGTCCGAAGGAGTGCCCCAGTACAGAAATACTGCTTGCATTTTAAGACCATATAGTTAGTTTGCAAAGTGTTTAAATGTGGATGTGTGTAATTGATTGATTGTGGGTGATATGATATAGACTCATATTGGACATATTATCAATAGCCGGTTTAATTTATTACACACTAATTGGGACAGATTTGTTATTTAAGATTGACTAAACTTTTTGTTGTAAAATGAATTTATTTATTTGGGGGACTGAAGTAGATGACTTTTTATGCCTTGAAAACCTGTAGATCTCCATGAGACAGGGAATGACATCAACAGACAAGGTTAGAACTTACACTGAAATATTATATAAATGTCGTGTCTAAAATAAATTCACAGGGAGAATCACTGCAGTGCCAATCATCATTTATTGAACAGTATTTTATGATAATGGTTTGGAGGGCGAGAAACAGGATCACCTTTCAGGTTTGGGCCTCTGCAGAGGGTCAGGTCAGTCAGCTTAGTCTTCTCTCCAGGTCCTCACACACACCCACTCTCTGAGTAACCCCCCGGCACCGTAGCTTGATGCCGTTAGTGGGCGATCGCCAGCAAGGGCCTGCACTGGATCTGAGAGGAAACAGAAACCAGACAAAGTGAGATTCAAAGTATAACACATGGATCATAAACAGGTCAGGAAAAGCAGATGTGTCTACAATTACTTACAAACTTATGTAAAAGTAATGAAAACTGTGGTTGTGAGGATGAGTTAGAGAGAATTGTTTAGACAAATCCAACAGCCTCACCACTCTAGGTGTGATATTACCAGTACAGCCTGTTTCTCGTCATAGAAACCAATGTACAGTATTTTACATTTTCAACCATTTTAACAAAGATTCAAATAAATTTTAATCTTTTGAAAAGTACAAATGTAAGTTAAAAGTTTAATCTACAGTAGGTCTCTCCAGTTCACCATTTGTCCTTCCTTAGACACTCTTGGTAGGTACTAACCACTGCAACACCCACTAAGACCTGCAGTGTGGGAGATGCTCTGACCCAGTCATCTCACCATCACAGTTTGGCCCTTGTCAAAGTCACTTACATCCTTATACTTGCCCATTTTTACTGCTTCCAACACATCTACTTTGAGGACTGAATGTTCACTTGCTGCCTATTATACTCCACACACTGACAGGTGCCACTGTAACAGTCAGTGTTATTCACTTCACCTGCCAGTGGTCAGAATGTTATGGCTGATTGGTGTATATACAATGTGAAGAGCTTTCAGATATGTACAGTGGTTATATTTACAAGTTAATACACTGGGGGTGTTTTGCTGTATACTGTTACACAGAAAAAACATTGATTAACTGTTCATGAGACTGATGGCATGGGCGCAGCATAAGCAAGAACAAATTGAATCAGAGATTACATTATTTTTTGATAATTTACTGGTGGTTACATTCTAAATCATGAAAAAACACAGTCACACCTCTACATAACCCTTTGGGAAAGATTTTGTGTGAATGCAGCTAAAACACACACTTCTATTTGTTCTGAGGTGAGGTGCAGTTTGTCTGTATGTAGCCCTGCCCTCAAACAGACACACAGACCTGAAACTGGGTGAATGTATAGTCTGTGTTGCAGGTATTCCCTGCCACTGTGACATCTTTACATCAACCCTCATTTACAGTTACAAGAAAAAGTGATGGCATGTTTTGCACTTTCCTGGTTTTATGCATAATTTGCTCATGAAATGTGATCTGATCTTCACCAAAAACACAAATATCAACAAACCCAATATTTCTAAGCTGATAAAACAAAAGCGGTTATGATCTTCTGACCATCTATCCATTATTTATACAGCTTATTCCTGAATAAGGTCATGGTCTTTCATGTTTTGATTGAACACACCCATTAAACATAAAAAGTGATGGTGGAAAAAGTAAAAGCAACACCAGGACTCTGATGCCACTAAAAGTCAACTGGAGTCAGGTGTTAGCAAACCTGGAGTCCAGTCACTGAAATGAGAATGGAGGTGTGGTTTAGAGCTACCTTGACTTTCAAACAGTATCACCATGCTGTTCACAAGCAGCTTAAGCTGATGTGAGCCGTGCCTCACAAAAAGGAGATCTCAGAAGACCTACGATTAACATTTGTTGATTTCCATGTAGCTGGAAAGGCTTACAGAGTCAGCTCAAACACTTAAGATATTCATCAGTCCACAGTTGGACATACTGTCTACAAATGAGGTGATTTGGTTCTGTGGCTTCTCTCCATAGAAGTGCATGCCCAGCTGACATCACTCCAAAGGCACAACGCAGAATGCTCAGTGAGGTAAAAAGAACCCTAGATTAACAGATAAAGATTTGAAGGATTTATTGGAGTTGGTTAACAACATGAGTCAACTATACACAAAATATTGAACAGGCACAGTATCTATGGCAGGACACTATGGAGGAAGCCGTTGCTCTTCAAAAACAAGAATGCAGCATGCCTGAAGTTTGCCAAAGACCACCCTGACATTCCACAACACTACTGGGAAAATGTCCTGTGGACAAATGAAATGAAGCTTGTTTTATATGGAAGAATGGTCCAAAATTCCTCCTGAACATTTTTCAGGTCTAATCCACAGTTACAGGAAGCACTTGTTTGAGGTTATTGCTGCCAAAGGTGGTTCAACCAGTTATTAAAACATTGTTGTCATTGCTTTTTTCACCGTCACTTTGTATGCTAAATGGGTGTTCAATAAAAACATGAAAGATCAAGACTTTGTGTTTTATCATTTTAGAAATATTTTTTGATATTTGTGACTTTCTAAAGTGTCCTGAGACAAATTTTGTTGTGATTTGGCGCTAATTGAATTGAATTGAATTAACAGTTGACAACCTTGCGTAAGTTTGCTCAATTACAGAGTATAATTCATGCAATGCTAATGGTGTTGCAACACCTGATTTTCACAGCTTTTTCTGTGGTTTTATTGCTCAGTCACTCTCTCTCTCTTTTGTTTCCTTGCTTCCTCTGACTTTGTTTTTTTTGCCACCTCCGTCATGTTGAGCCATTCTAAGAACACCAAGCTCGCTTCTTCTTATAGCTACTGTAGCTGAAAGGTGTGACCCATTTTATTCATGTGTGACGTGATGCCATAAAGTATTATGCAAATCTCACAAGAGTCTCCAAGGCGTGATTCCAAACAGATGATCTAGGTATGCAGATGGAATGGTACAGATGCCATGTGCCTTATTATAAGTCAGAATACCATCGAAATGATTTTGAAGCTGTTGAAAAAACTTAGAAAAAATCAACTGGACTAGATTTCTAGGTCAAAGACATTTCACCTCTCCTCCAAGAGGCTTCTTCAGTTCTGACTGACTGGTGTTGAGCCGGAGATATTTATCCCCCTCGGAGTCAGCCATTAGGAACAACAAG